TGTGCATGGCTTATTTCCCTTAACATAATGATCACGGTTCTGGCAATCTTGGTAATATCACCTAAGTAGGCTACTTTCTGATACAGGAAGCTTCCCTGCTCCAGCTTCCCCACCCCAACCAAGAAAACATAAATATACACAATAATTAATATAATTTCGATGTATAATATTTTATATTTCTTCCAGTTAAAATAACACCTCCATATCCACCCACAGCAGGTATTTAGTCACTGGAATGTCAAAGAGAAACACCAAAAGCAAAGAGTTAGATAGTTAGAAGAATGTTTCAGGGTTTGTGGGAACTGGCTTCTCTTCCTTAGAATCTGTTCATACTGAGCCAGAACTCTTATAAAAGGATAAAAACATTATCTTGAAACTGAATAATTTTGTTTGGTTTCCATTGTGTAATTCTCTTTGATTTGATTCATAAGGCAGGAAAGAGCTTTTTGCTTACTGCACTAATGATGCTCAGTATAAGATCATTTCCAATAGGTAGAAGCTGTGTTGGTGGCATTAGTTAGGATTTTGGAGCTTAGACAAATGACTCTCACAAATTCCTAATAGCATGAAGTCTCAACCTGTGGAATAAAATTTAGTTTCTTCACACACTCAACATTAAAGTATAGCTTATCTGTTTTATAATGGATCATAATAATAATTTTCTAGTTATAGAATAATTCATCTGTAAACTCAGGATCTAGAAAGAGCCAGGCAGTAAAAGTAGAGAATGTTTTTACACAAGTTACTTTCTTTTGAACTGATCTTCATGATCAGTATGTAGACATCATTAAGCGTATCTTAATATATCAATACATATATAGAATCATATATAAACATATAAGAATATATAAATATATATATTATTCAAGAGATACACTTTTGATTGTTGAGTTGTGAATTTAAAGAATTCCTGAAGGTAAAAATTGGAATTTACTCTAAAATCCTACAGAAACTGAAATTCAAAAAAATATTTTAATATGTATCCATTTTCAAGTCTTTATTTTTAACTGTGAATGTTCCTTTATCAAATAAAACAAAAAGTTTAAATAACATTCTTTTAAAACCACTTCAGAAGGCTTTTATGAAAAGTCATAAGAGAGATATGCATTAGATTCTGCCAATATTGACATCTCTTCAAATAATTTTCAAAATATTTGAATGCTGAAATTTTAATCAGTTTTAACATGGATTTCCATTGCTAAGCATTGCCTTTGTCACTTTTATATATAAAAAGTCATTTCTTACCTAATGTGATATAATAACTTTTTATAAACCATGGGCAAATTGTTCAAAGCTCGATTGTATTTCATTTTCTCACACTGGGGCTAACTTTAAAACATCAAAGCTACAGAATGCTAATCAGCCTGGCTGCTAGGACTGATGGTCTTCTAGTATTTAGAGTCAATCAAGTGTCTTTGCAAGTGACAATGATGTTCAAATAGGTTTGAGTCAACTGGTATAATATTCCTTACTATTCTAATGTTTTACAGTTTTGCTTTTCCATGAAAAATATCTATTTTTTCTGTGTCATTCTTATGCCAAGCTTCTATACCTAGGAATTATGGATATCTAGTATAAAGAAGTTTTATTTAAAAATAGCAAACAGATGGCTAGTACCAATTAGCAAGAGTTCTCCATCTTATAGACCCATGTCTTTTATTTTTGTTTCCATGTGTTTCTCTTTGAAATTAGTGCAAATATTAACAGCAGCTATTTTTATTAGCCCATAGTAGAGCAACAAGAATTGAAAGTTATTTCTTTATGGCCTCTGTTATGACATAATTCAAGCTGTTACTCAGAAATTTGCAAAATCCAAGAGACCCTTTGTATGGGGAACATGGTGGTTACTCACTGATATGTCATGTTTTGCATATTTAAATAGATATTTTCCATAGCCACATTAGTGACTTAGTTGTTTAATAGAAACAAGAAAAAAATGATGTGTTGACTAACCTTTAGAACTGACAGTAGTCAAAATATTAAAGGTAGTAGTGTTCATATCAATAAAGTAAAATCCTATTGAAGTTTGCTCTTACACAGCATGAAGCACAGCTTTGAGAAATTTGACCCAGGAGGGAACAGAATATAAAAATATGAAAAGTTTCTTTTTTTTTTTCCCCATTTATTTATTTTATTGCATTTTAGGTTTTGGGGTACATGTGAAGAACATGCAAAATTGTTGCATAGGAACACACGTGGCAGTGTGATTTGCTGCCTTCCTCCCCATCACCTACATCTGGCATTTCTCCCCTTGCTATCTCTCCCCAGCTTCCCACCCCCCACCGTCCCTCCCCTATTTCCCCCCAACTGACCCCAGTGTGTAGTGCTCCTCTCCCTGTGTCCATGTGTTCTCATTGTTTAACACCCGCCAATGAGTGAGAACATGCGGTGTTTGATCTTCTGCTCTTCTGTCAGTTTGCTGAGAATGATGGTTTCCAGGTTCATCCATGTCCCTACAAAGGACACAAACTCATCGTTTTTGATGGCTGCATAATATTCCATGGTGTATATGTGCCACATTTTCCCTATCCAGTCTATCGTCGATGGGCATTTGGGTTGGTTCCAGGTCTTTGCTATTGAAGTAGTATTTGTAATATTAGGTAAACAATTTTAGAACATATGTCAAGGATTCACATAAAGAGGCATATGCTTTCTTCTATTCAAGACATATACTTTGTATCTAATATAAACTGTGCTAAGCATTGTGAGCAGTAAATTACAGAGAAATAAATGTAAAATGGATGAGTACAGAGAAGGGATGAAAAGGCATGGAGTTAGATTAGACTCGAAAGAATAAAATGTCTGCTGATAAAGCACAAATATGCACCTGTGTTGAACACCGCATAATTAGATTTTTCATCAGTCTTTTCTAAGGGTAGCACATTATATTTTTTGAAAATTTGTTTTCTGTTTCTTATTTGGCCTGAGAGTCACTTTGATAATCTGTAGGGCCATGGTTTAACCAAGACACAATCATCACGCAGTATCATCTTCTATGACCATGTAAATTTTGCTGGGCAGGAGTTATGATGTCCAACAGCCACTTATTTAACTATAAAAACATTGTTATTACCACAGATTTTCATCCATGGCTCATAAAAAATATAGGAGCAAAGCAGTATAGAAAGCAATCTGAAGAATAGAGGACATGTCAAGGTTAGATATTATATTTTACAGACATGCATGTTGTGTTTTTTTAATGGAGTAGACAGAAGATCAGTTGGAGTAGAGTAATATAGATATTCAATACTCCCGTTAAAAGCCATTGTGAATAATTTAACTTTACAAAACATGTCCTATTAACTGGGAGAGAAAGAGAACATTCCAAGAGAATGGAAATAGATAAACGGACAACAGAATAAAGCTACACATATATTGGATTCATTTCCATAGAGTTATCTTTAATATATTTTATAAAGTGGGTTATTATAAAATTTTACCATAAAATATATATTTAAGTTTCTTCACTGAGAGAACCATTCATAAATATAAATTTCCTTTCTTATATGTACTGCTCACTGATAATTTACACAAAGTTGAAGAGAAGCTATACTTCAATGAGTAAAGCAAACACATCATATCCTGTCATATCAAAGTTTAAGTCTTGGCTTTTAAAAAAATTGTGAACATCAGTTCTCATTTCTGGGACAGTCAATGTTTTTTGGAACTTAAAGTGTCCCCAAACACCCGAGTTGTCATTCATTGATGTAGCATGGACTTTCACACATCCAAGTCTTTGAATATGCTATATTCATACCTGGAATGTGAATGTTTTTGTTCTCATTCTCTGACAAATTTATATTGTTTGTTGAAAGATTAACTTATGCAATACTTCCTAAAGAAAGGCTTTCTAGGCATTTCTCTTATCTACTGACACTTTATAAAACCCCAAAACACATACACTATACCATGAATGGTGCCTTCAGGACTGATAGAGGGCAGTGGCCTTGCTTACCTTCTCCACTGATGCAGGGATACTCCATCCTTTGGATTTCTATAGCAATTTGTATATACTTCAGTTTGATTATTTTTAAAGTCTGCTGTATTATTACTTGTTTAAAAATTGGCCTGATTTTCACTGTACATTAAACTTTTTGGAGCAGACACTGAGATATTACAATATTTTATTCTTCATACTGCATAGCACAAGGCATGGAAAATGGTTGTGATATAAATAAATTCTTAACTTCAAATTCAAGCAGTGAAGAAAGTTTGAAATTTAATCAACCTAGATACATAAAAAGACTTAAGAATTAAATAAATTTTATAGAACATCTGAAGACAAAATGTAAAAATGTTTTCACAGGACAGATATACCATATCAACATTCAAACTAAAATTCCAAAACCAAAATGAACAAATGAATAAATCAACAAATAAAAGAAGTTAAGAGGGAAAGATCTCAAATTGACACCCTAACATTACAATTAAAAGAACTAGAGAAGCCAGAGCAAACAAATCCAAAAGCTAGCAGAGGACAAAAGACAACTAACATCAGAGCAGAACTGAAAAAATCAATATCATGAAAATAGCCATTCTGCCCAAGGTAATTTATAGATTCACTGCTTTTCCTGTCAAGCTACTATTGACTTTCTTCATAGAACTAGAAAAAAGTACTCTAAATATCATATGAAACCAGAAAAGAGCCCATATAGCCCAAAAAATTCTAAGCAAAAAGAACAAAGCTGGAGGCATCATGCTACCTAACTTCAAACTACAAGTCTAAAGTAACCAAAACAGCAGGGTACTGGTACCAAAACAGATATATAGACCAATAGATCAGGATAGAGGCCTCAGAAATAACGCCATGCATCTACAACCATTTGATATTTGACAAACCTGACAAAAACAAGAAATGGGGAAAGGATTCCCTATTTAATAAATGGTGCTAGGAAAACTGGCTAGCCATATGCAGAAAATGGAAACTGGATACTTTCATTAAACCTTATACAAAAATTGACTCAAGATGGATTAAAGGCTTAAACATAAAACAAAAAAAAAACATAAAAACCCTTGAAGAAAGCCTAGGTAATACCTTTCAGACCATAGGCATGGGCAAAGATTTTAATACTAAAACACCAAAAGCAGTGGCAACAAAAGCCCAAACTGACAAATGGGATCTAATTAAACTTAAGAATTTCTGCACAACAAAAGAAAGCATCAATAGAGTGAACCAGCGACCAACAGAATGGGAGAAAATTTTTCCAATCTTTCCATCTGACAAAGGTCTAATATCCAGAATCTACAAGGAACTTAAACAAATTTACAAGAAAAGACAAAGAACCCCATCAAAAAGTGGCAAAGAATATGAACAGACACTTCTGAAAAGAAGACATTTATGCTACCAACAAACATATGACAAAAAACTCATCATCACTGATCATTAGAGAAATGCAAATTAAAAGCACAGTGAGATACCATCTTACGCCAGTTAGAATGGTGATCATTAAAAAGTCAGGAAACAACAGATGCTGGAGAGGATGCAGAGAAATAGGAACGATTTTACACGTTAGTGGGAGTGTAAATTAGTTCAACCATTGTGGAAGACAATGTGGTGATTCCTCAAGGATCTAGAACCAGAAATACCATTTGACCCAGCAATTCCATTACAGGGATATACCCAAAGGATTATAAATCATTCTACTGTAAAGACACATGCACAAGAATGTTTGTTGCAGAACTATTTACAATAGCAAAGACTTGGAAACAAACCCAAATTCCCATCAATGATTGACTGGATAAAGAAAATGTGGCACATATACACCATGGAATACTATGCAGCCATAAAAGACAATGGGTCATGTCCTTTGGAGGGACGTGGATGAAGCTGGACTCCATCATTCTTAGCAAACCAACACAGGAACAGAAAAACGCAACACCACATTTTCTCACTCATAAGTGGGAGTTGAACAATGAGAACACATGGACACAGAGAGGGGAACATCATACACAGGGAGGGGAACATCATACACTGGGGTCTGTCAGGGGGTTGGGGACAAGGAGAGGGAGAGCATTAAGACAAGAAATGCAGTCAGGGCTTAAAATCTAGATGATGTTTTGATTGGTTCAGCAAAGCACCATAGCACATGTATATCTATGTAACCTGCACATTCTGCACATGCATCCTATAAGTAATAGTATAATAATGATAATAAAGAATTTAAAATGTTTTATAACTTCTGAAGATAAGATTTAAAAAGGTTTTCACAGGTTAACACATATACCACATCAACATTCAAACTGGTATTCCAAAAGCAAAATGAATGAACGAATAAATGAACAAATGAAAGAAGTCCTTCCTATGTATTCTGTAACATTGAAGGCTCAGTATCAACTCTTTGTTCATGTATCCATTCAGCCATACAAAACCATTCAATTTTTCTTTTCACATATTATTTTAGACCTGAGATTAACAATTCATTTGTGAAGATGATAGAGCCAGGCTTTTTCCATAGTCTTCATTTGCCACTTCTCTCACTTAATGGCCAAAATTAAATATCTAATGGCTGGGAAGTGAATATGGGCTTTCATTTGATCAATAGGAGCTCAGAGACCTTTTATTAGTTCCTTTAGTCATCAATGAGTTAGGGTCTGGAACTGTCAACCTATGAAAAAAAGATTCCTAATAAGGGCTACTTAACTGCTTCACAGTGCTATTGAAAGATGTAAGGAGGGTCTTTAAGAGTTTTTCAAATAATAATTCTGTAAAGTACTCAGAGGTATGTAACTCTAGTTTTTAGTGAAAGGTTACATGTTTACATTTAAGAGTTAAAATGAAGCTATATAATTGGTGAGAGAAACTCCACAGATTATAATCAAATCCCAAGTGAGTTTATTGTAATTATATTTAATTCATCAAATGACAAGAAATTTAATAAAGACTAGAACCTGGCACATCTCCTGAATACAGAAAGATTCTGATCAGTCTAGGTTTTACATTTTTCTTTTTCTCATTTTAACTTCCAAATAGAAAAACTGGAAATTAATAGATCTGACCTGAGATCCATTGTGAAGAGAAAAGTTTTAGATTTTTAACGTGTCTTACTTTAAGCAATACACAATTCATTTAAATCAATAGTGCTGAAAGTCTTTTTAGAGTTGTTTTCCAATGTTGTAATGTTGTTTGTGGTTTGGAAAATGAAGCCAGGGCATCTCATAAAGAGTTTTATTATAATCAAAGTAAAACAAGTAAAATGAAATGTTACTTCAAAATCAGAAAAACAGGAAAAATACTGATTGCATGTTGATGAATTCTAATTTATTACACCTGTGATACCTGCCTCTGCATTTTGGATTAGGGAGTTTCCTATCCAGAGAATATCCTCCTGCTGCCTCTTGTCTGGTCAAATCACACTCAGCAAGGCCAAGCTCTATTGCCTTCTTATCTTCTTCCTTTATTTAGCTTTTCATAGCTAATGTAAACTAAAAAATAAAATTCTAAGCCTCCTCAACCATCTGAATGGATCCATCCTCTTGGCCAAGGGTATTCCAGAGTTAATCTGAAAAACTAGTTCAGGTCACTATGGAAAGAGTGTCCAGCATACGTCATTATATCTTTTCCCTTTTTGAATTCAGGAAAAATCAACCATCTTTAGCATCCACAGAGATCTTAAGTCTGATTATAAACATTTATAATCTTTTCTCTTTAAAGGCTGCTACTTGGAGGCATCATCTGCATGATAAAACCCAAGTCTCCACAGACCCTTATCATAATCCAGAAAATCCTTTCTACTGATACAAAATTGCCAATCAGAAAATAGTTAAATTTCCCTTTAGGGCACCAAGTTTTGTTTCTATTTAGAAAGTGTATTCTAAAGGAGCTTCTCCTTTGATTTTTCTCCAAAAATTAAGCTCAATTGGCTTGTTTGTGAATTTGTGTGAGGAACTGAACTGTCATTTTTGTAGCTAAATGACAGATTGGTTCTCCTCAGCTCCAAAGATAAAGAACACTTTGCACCCCCAGCTGAAAAATGCCCCTGGGTGACTGGGGAAGTTGTGGAAATGTCTGGGAGTTGACCCTCAGCAACATGCAGTGGCCCTACAGGGAATCCTCAACAAAATTAGTTTAAAAAGGCTTATGCAGGAAACATATAGCAGCTGGCAACTGCACATTTTCAGCTCTTTTGGAGGTGCTAGACCTCTGGAGAGAGAAACTGAGACATGTAAGAAGGCAGAAACTACTCAGTAGTGACAAACTCTTGAGTCCCACCCACAAGCAGCACACTTTGATCCACTACATTAAATCCTAGGCCACAGCTCAGTTCTTTCTTTTAAGAAAAGAAAATGGGAAAAAAAATAATCAAAGAATGAGAAAAAAACAAGAATGACCCCCTTTCGGTAACCTTGATGGTTTTATGGTGACGCTACTTGCAAGTGTTTTGTAAAATGAACATATTATGGTCTTTTTGTGCACATTTTAACTGACGGACAAATTTAATCAAGGAAAAATTCAGAGCCCAAAAGTCAACCTGCAACTGTTAGGTTCTTAAATTCTGTATTTCTCTATTTTTTTTTTCTGCCTGCTTTAAATCTGTTGTTACTCTTCTACTGAGTTAAAAAAAAAAAAAAAAAAACACTGTTTGGATCCAACCTTGTTTTTTTTTCTTCAAACCAGCGAGTTTGTATTACTATCTCATGGCTACAGTTCTGAAGTAAAATCTATAGGATCTTTGTATGAGTATGTATGTGTGTTCATATGTATGTACATGTATTTTGTTATGTGTTTTGGCCACAAGGTACCAAGATGGTTTAAAGTGAAAGAGTACTCATAAATTAAATAATAAGCCCATATGTTTTTCAAATTCATATGACTTAAAATCTTGAATAAATAAGCTGGCTTTAAAATATTGTTAAAATGATACTAGAAATGTCTTAAGAATTATCAGCATTTTTGTTGCAGTTCTTGATCAAACACTTTAATACATATCCCTGTAGAATACTGTAAGGTGTAAAATTTTGCCATAAGGGTTATAAAATTATAAACTAAATCCAGCCAAGAACAGAGTGACTTTTGCTTGTGTAATTTTTATATAAATAAGACACTTAATATTGTTGGTTAAATAAAACCACCTAAATCCTGAGTTGTTGGTTAAATATCCATGTATTTAACCTTAAGTTTTTACTGAGATAAACACCTGAAATTCATAGGCTACAAATATCCTTAACAGGGAAATAACTTTAAATGATGACTGTCACATATTTTAAGCAGCTTTATTGAGATATAATTCATATACCTGATAATTTATTCATTGAAAGTATAAAATTCCATAATTTCCCAAATATTAACAAAGTTGTACAACAATCACCACAATATAATCTTTGTTTTTCAGTATTTTTGTTTCAGTAGTTTTGGGGAACATGAGGTGTTCGGATACATGAATAAGTTCTTTACTGGTGATTTCTGAGATTTTGGTGCACCCATTCCCTGAGCTGTGTACACTGCATCCAATATGTAGTCTTTTATCTCTCAGTCCCCTCTTACCCTTCCCTCTGAGTCCCCAAAGTCCATTATATCATTCTTGTGTCTTTGCATTCTCATAGCTTAGCTCCCATTCATAAGTGAGAACATATAATATTTGCTTTTCTATTCCTGCATTACTTCACTTAGAATAATGGTTTACAACTCCATCCAAGTTGCTACAAATGCCATTATTGTGCTAACTTACACTCCCACCAACAGTGTAAATGTGTCCCTATTTCTCCACATCCTCTCCAGCATCTGTTGTCTCCAGATTTTTTAATGATTACAATTCTAACTGGCATGAGATGGTATCTTAATATGGTTTTGATTTGCATTTCTCTAATGACCAGCGATGATGAACATTTTTTCATATGTGTGTTGGCCTCATATATGTCGTCTTTTGTAAAGTGTCAACATATATTTTTTTTGACACACAGTTTCGCTGTTGTTGCCCAGGATGGAATGCAATGGTACAGTCTTGGCTCACTGCAACCTCCGCTTCCTGGATTCAAGTGATTCTCCTTCCTCAGCCTCCTGAGTAACTGGGATTACAGTTGCCTCCCACAATGCCAAGCTTATTTTTTGTATTTTTAGTAGAGACAGGGTTGTGCCATGTTGGCAATTTCTGACCTGAAGTGATCCACCCACTTGGCCTTCCAAAGTGCTGAGATTACAGATGTGAGCCACTGCGTCCAACACAAAATATTTGAATAGACATTTTTCAACAGAAGAAATACAAATGGCAAACAAGCATATGAAAAGGTGCTCAACATCATTGATCATCAGAAGAATGCAAGTCAAAACAACAGAGATATTGTCTCACCCCAGTTAAAATGGCTTATATCCAAAACACAGTCAATAACAAATGCTGGCAAGGATGTGAACAGAAAAACAGCCCTTGTACACTGTTGGTGAAAATGTAAATTAGTGTAACCACTCTGATGAACAGTTTGGAGGTTCCTTAAAAAACAAAACATAGAGCTACCATGTGATCCAGCAATCCCACCGCTGTGTATATGCTCAATAAAATGAAATCAGTATATTGCAGTTTACAATATCTAAGATTTAGAAGCACCGTAAGTGTTCATCATCAAATGAATGGATAAAGATAATGTGGTACATATACACAATGGAGTACTATTCAGTCATAAAAAAGGAATGAACTCCAGTCTTTTTCAAAAACACATATGTAACTGGAGATCATTATGTTAGGTGAAATAACCAAGGCACAGAAAGACAAACATTGAATGTTCTCGCTTATTTGTGGGATCTAAAAATCAGAACAATTGAATTCATGGACATAGAGAGTAGAAGGATGGTTACCAGAGGCTTAGAAAAGTAGTGGAGTACTAGGGGGGAAGGCAAGGATTGTTAATTTATACAAAAAATAATTAGAATAAATAAGAGATACTATTTGAAAGTACAATAGGGTAACTATGATCAAGAATAACCATACATTTTAAAATAACTTATAGAGTATAATTAGATGGTTTACAACTCAATAAATAAATGACTGAGGGGGTGGATACTGCATTTTCCATGATGTGCTTATTTTACATTGCATGCCTGTTTTAAAACATCTTATGTACCCCATAATTATATATACCTATGATCTATCCACATAAATTGAAAATAAAAAAAAAAGAAAGAAAAAGTTTGCTGGGTCGAACCTTAAGCCTGGACTGTGCTCAGATGTGGTTTTGTCTCAGCTCAGGTCTCTAGTCTCAATGCTATCCACAAAAGAGGAAATTAAGCCAGTGTAACGAAAACTTACCTCTGAGACCTGTTGTTACCAAAATGACAGTCAATGTGGGGAAGGGGCAAACCCCAATAACTCTTTAAACCAGAGGGTATAATATAAAGGAATTGTTCTATTCTTAGATTGGTTTAGTAAGCTTCCAAAAAACCTTTACTATAATGGATTGTAAAAATAACTAATTTAAGGACATTATACTTAATTTTAAATGCTACAGAATGAAAGAGCATGTTTGGGTTGACACAAGGCCCACAGATTACTATTAAACAATCACTAATGAGTATATGTGATCCAAATGCATAGATAGTTATTCCTAGAGAATGACCAGCCTAGTGGACTGAATAAATGGCCACTATAGGGTCTGTTTACCCTGAGAAGGGGGCTGCCCAACTCTCCCTATAAAATGTCAAGTAGAGCACCTGATGAAGCAGCTGTTATGTTTCATATTCAAGCAATATGGGACTGGATTTATAATGAGCAGAATATTTTCTCACTGAGTATGCCTATTACCCAGTCTATAGTAAATATTAGGGTTAAGGGGGCCACTTTTACATGGCCACCTGAGATGATATTTTTCCTGCAGTATTATATAACTGCTTGACAAGCCTTATCAAATTTGCTACCTCTCATGGGACTTAACAGATACTGAATAAAGCACTAAGGTAACAACAACAACAAAAAAATAGGAAAGACAAAAGGGAGTCAATGCACTCGCTCCAGAAAGGTGACAGAAATATTTTAATGGTTATTAAAAAATAAAATAAAATGAAAATTGATGAATTTAAAAGAAAGATTTCTACAATGCTTTCAAAGGTAGAGTGAACCAAAGGGAACCCCTACTAGTCCCCCGACATAAGAGGCCCTGTACTGGTTTTCTGCATTTGCCTCAGATTGGGGAAATTTTAAAGACATCAAAAGCCAAAGGTTATAATGAAAATCTGACATTTCCTGAGGCAATGTTGAGGCAAGATAAAAATTGACAAAAGAGCCCGAGTCTCTTGGCTCAACTCTGTGCTTGGATCCCTAATATTTTTTCACCAGGAAAGGCAAAATGATCTGAAGGTAGAAAAGAAAACCCCTGGGACCAGAACATAAAACTTATAGGTTATTACAGGATTATGAAATTTGAGATTTTTAAACAGGCTTTATGTAAGGTAGGTGTGACTCCTTTACCTAAATGTCTTATGAAAATGGGTATTGTCTCTAACTGGGGAATGTTTTTCCTGCCTAGTACTATAAAACTGAAGATATATAAATCTGCCCTTTGAGAAATATTAATTGGACCTACTACATTGGAACTAATAAGATTGCCTGAGTCTGCAGAATATAGGATAAAAGCTGAAGTGCTAGTTGAGATAAATCTTCCACTTCATAGTTATTTGTGGAGCATTTATTGGGCCTTATGGCAAAAGACTGTGAGCACTTCCAAAAGACAACTTATGGACTAGAGAATTTCCACTTGGGAATTTATTGCCATGTTATGGAATGGTAAATGAAGCTACCCCTATGCTAATGGAAATAATGGTGCCCCAAAGAGTTCCATGATAAAATAAAAATGGTTTACATAGGATCTTTTTACTTGGGGTTATAGGAGGAGATACACGTGAGCAGGAAGCCTTTTCTCACTCAAGGGCTAACTCTATAAGGGACTGCTAGATTCTACAGTGCCTGATAAACAGCTCTCATCTAACAAGAGTTGCTTAGAGTGTGGATGGCAGTTCCAAGGTGAATAAACGACATCTTCTTTGGAAGTTGCTGCTCTGGTTAAAGAAGAGTCAAAAATATTTTTCTTTTGAGTTATAGTTCAGAGCATTTGGGTAAAGTATGTTTTTGTAAGCAAATTTACCTTTCTCTCTTTGAGTTCCCCCAAATTCAAAAACTGTTCAGGATTTTATAAGTTTAGTAAGAGTGTTTTCCTTTACAACAGAACAATTGGAAACACTGGTTATTTTACAAAGACTTTGAGTAGAGTAACATATTTTTAGGTAAAGTTTCGGCGAAGCTAACTTAAAGGAGTCTATGTGGCCAATGAATTCTTGCTGCACTTTATGCACATAATCAAGCCAAGAATAATAAGCCTAAAACTTATTTTGAAAACAAATTGATCTTACTATAATTTCTCTTTAGTAGAAAAGTAGGACCAGAAAGAGAGAAAAAAATAATTTCAATGGAAGAATCTTACACTTGTTACTAGATTTCAGCCCTGAGTTTTGTTTTTGAGTGCAGATTGAGTCATAAATTATTTCTTTTTTTTTTTTTTTTTTTTAGGAGACGGAGTCTCGCTCTTGTTACCCAGGCTGGAGTGCAATGGCGCGATCTCGGCTCACCGCAACCTCCGCCTCCTGGGTTCAGGCAATTCTCCTGCCTCAGCCTCCTGAGTAGCTGGGATTACAGGCACACACCACCATGCCCAGCTAATTTTTTGTATTTTTAGTAGAGACGGGGTTTCACCATGTTGACCAGGATGGTCTCGTTAGCTACAACAATTCTCTAAAGAGCACCAGATTATAATTTTTCTTCATAATTTTAGTTGTTGCTCTAATGGAACAGATTTCTTTTTCTGTTCTGTCACACAAATACTCTTTTGATTGTCAAAATTTTGTTATTTATCTCACCTTGTTTTGCTACCAAGGAAACCAGAATCATGGTATTCTGAAGACTAGAGATGTGAATCTCCCTCATTTGGCATACTACTGGGCCCGAATTGTTTCAATGCAGATTCCCTGCTGCTAAGATTATACAAACACCCTCACTCTAGACCCAGGGACTATCATGGAAGAGGTGGACATATGAGATTGTAATAGCTGGTTTGAAAGATAAAATTAGTTCAGACCCTCTAGATCAAGAATGAGCACACAGATACCTAACAAGGTAAAACAAGGAACTTTGCCTTCTTACCTTTTCATCTATCCCAACCATAAAGAATTTTCTGCTTTTCGTAGAATTGAAATTATCAGTGGGAGAATATAAAGATACCTTATGACAAAGCCTGCTGGGTATAATACTCCTAGTTATGAAATTCATGCAGATATATATTAAAAAATTTATCAGTCACCTTAGGGCAAATTACTAAAAAACTGCAAAAAGCACTGCAGCACATCCACGATGTGCTTATATGGGTATAGGCTCAAAAAAATGAAATCAGTATAATTTCATTTTTGTTGATAATAGCACAACAAGTCTCTAAAATGACTTAGCTTAAAATATTTTAACAGTGCTTATTTTTTGTATGGCTAATTACTATATATCTGTAACTAAGACTGAGACTCTTTTCGCTCATTCAGTTTTGTAACCTCATCCTAACTCTTTGTTTGTTGGTCTTTTACTTAAAGGTTAATGAATGTCTCTGTTCACATCCATTCCCATCTGGCCTAGAACATTTAAATTAGCTAAAAGTCTTTTCATTGTAAGTCCCTTGGACATGGGGGAAATTCTACCAAGGGACAGAATGAACCCAAAGCAGGCAGTCATGCCACCCTGGCAATGCTATGGGAAAAAAAAGTAGGTGGTCACTGATGTTCCCTCTGGCAAATCTTGGCTGGAAAGAGGAGAATTTATACCTAAAAGTTAAATTCTTTATGTATATATGTATGTATATATGTATATATTTTTATTGTACTTTAGGTTCTGGGGTACATGTGCAGATCATGCAGGATTGTTGCATAGGTACATACACGGCAATGTGGTTTGCTGCCTCCATCCCCCAGCCATCTATATCTGGCATTTCTCCTCATGTTATCCCTCCCCAACTCCCTACCCCCCACTGTCCCTCCCCTATTCCCCCACTACAGACCCCAGTATGTGATGCTCTCCTCCCTGTGTCTGTGTGTTCTCATTGTTCAACACCAACTTATGAGTGAGAACATGTATGGCTTTTTCTCCTGTTAATCTACCTATTGTCTGTTTATTTCCAGCAAATCATCAGAGGACAGAGGATAAAGGCGTCCTGTTATTCTTACAAAATCAAGGGAGAGAAAACATTTATATAGATCATGCAGCTAGACTAGTGAAACTAACAGAACTAGAAATGGAACACTCCTCCTAACCATCTAAGTGGTGGTGCTTTATTCGATGAAATACCATTCTTATTAGCAAATTATCCCTCATCTAAGATCCTGCAGCCATTTTCTGTGAATCATTTAAACATCAGTCATGACTAGCCTATGTCCTCTCTCATATTTCTATTTTTTGTCATTTTTTATCTTTACCACATTTGTTCCATTTTCTATGTTGACAGTGGGAATTTTTGACTTCATTGTAATCTACTAGTAAGCAAGATTTTATGCTTCCTTGTTTATGCCCTCTTTCAGAATGTATCAACCAGAAAGATGTGTATTAAATAGAAACCACATATCAACTAAGTTTTATTTAATCATTTCAGAGGTGGCCATTAACTTTTTTTAAGATGTCAATATGTGGAATTGCCTTGAATTAAGGTTGCACAAAAGATTTTCTTGCAGAAAGATAAATATTTAAAAATAATGTTATCAGAGTTCATTTAGGTGAAAAAAATTTATCTTTTTTTCTGTTATACTTTAAGTTCTGGGACACATTTGTAGAACATGCAGGTTTGTTACTTAAGTATACACATATGATGGTGGTTTGCTGAACCCATCAAGCTGTCATCTACATTAGGTGTTTCTCCTAATACTATCCCTCTCTTAGTCCCCCACCCTACAGAAAGCCCCAGTGTGTGATGTTCCCCTCCCTGTGTCCATTTTATTCTCATTGTTCAACTCCCACTTATGAGTGAGAACATGTGGTGTGTGATTTTCTGTTCCTGTATTAGTTTGCTGAGAATGACGGTTTCCAGCTTCATCCATGTCCCTAAAAAGGACATGAACTCATCCTTTTTATGGCTGCATAGTATTCCGTAGTGTA